CTTTGGAGCAGCCTATGAACCAGTGAAGTGTCCTGTTCAAAGGTTTCTGGTTGGAAAGAACAAACCGTGTAGTATAGTGGTAACCTTGGATCAGTGATTAGAGAACTTTGGATTAGGCAGCTATGACCTTAAAAAGTGAGCAGAATGAATTGTGTATTACTAACAATGGAAGACTGCAAATGCAAGTGAAATCTGACTTTTATGAAAATCAGTTGGGAGAAAAATTGGACATACACATTTTAGTGATTTCATATCACTTTCAGGCTTTTGGAAAAGTAAATAAGTGGTAAAAGTAAATAAGGGGCTTCCTCTAAAATTACTGAGGTATAATTAAGACACAATAACATGCCGAATAAATACTAATTCAGAAGACAAACAACAAAAATCAGCGTTATATTTACAAAATTTCCACAGGACTAGTTTCGATGGTTTACCGAACCACCACCTCAGCTGCAAAACCGCGCAAATGAACAAGATAGAAAAATGATTAGATAAGATAAGAAAGCCTAGACAAGAATAAGCAAGTGGCTCACCTGTTGGTGAAACCAGAACTAAAACATATTTCTTTAAAGGCCGAAGGCAAATTGTGAATTGAATGTGAAATTATTTTTCACATTCATAAAAATCTTTCTGTTCTAGTTAACATCTTAATTCCAATCCAAATTTGCCTTCGGCCTTTTAAAGAAATTATGTTTTATTCTGGTTCACCACAGGTGGCGCCACTTGCTATTCTTGTCTAGGCTTTCTTATCTATCTAATCATTTTTCTATCTTGGTCATTTGCGGTTTTGCAGCTGAGGATGGTGGTTCGTTAAAACCATCGAAACTAGTCCTGTGGAAATTTTGTAAATATAACGCTGATTTTTGTTGTTTGTCTTCTGAATTACTGAGGTATGTTGTCTGTAAGTTTGACCATCTATGCTGTTTTAGAATAGAAATATTCTTTTTTTGATGAGAATAATTAAATGTCTTCTTGTTGTTTATTCTCGGTTGTCTGACGTAGTCAGCACAAACCCACGAAATTCCTTGTGGCAAGGAGTGCAAGATTACTCCTGACGTTGGCAACAGCCTTGGGCACCATTCAGGTGGCAGTGTGATTTAGCTCAGTTCCGCCTCCAATTTTGATGGAGAGAACCCCAGGGGGATGGGTCCAAGAGTCTCCTCTTCCATCAAACCACACGAAAGGACTTTCGGCTCGCTGCAAATTTAGAGTACCGCCATGCCGAACCGACACTATGCATTTACAAACATCCAAGCCTTCTCGGGGATTTGAACCAGGCCCTTCAGCAGGCAGTCCAGCGACGCTAACTATTGTGCCGGTTGGGTGGCGAATAATTAAATATGATGAAAAGTGTGTTTTGTTGATTATGAAGTCTTTAAAAAGACTCTAGAAGAATTAGCTTCTGGTCTTGTGAATACAGGAACACAAAGTCGGAGGAAGGGTGTACAAGACCCTTTTATTCGAATACATAGAAATAGCAATGATCCAACTTGTGTTTACACGAGCCATCACTTCTGCCTTAACTTAAATACGTAACGTTGAAGTAATTCAAACATAATAGATTAGCCTAACGACTCACAGGATAAAGTAACGTGCAGGAAAGGCTCTGGTTTGTAGAAAACGGCAAGATAAGCCAGATGGCTAGAAGCACTCAACGCCACAGAATCAAATCGCTAATAGTCACGGTACAACGTGGCCTGAAATAGGTAGAACATGCTCTAAAAGTAACTTATCTCATTTACATTTTGGCATGAAAAGTAACTGAACTTAAAATTAACTATTAGCTAAAAATAAATAGATAAAAACCTCACAAGATATATATCGGTGATCTTGTTGAATAGCTTGAAACTGAACTTTCATCCAAATAGGACCGTGGTGATTGATGATGCCCAGCTGGTATACTTTTGTAAAATCTGGTGAATCTGTTAATGTTAAGATGCATTATATTCAGCTGCCACGCAGACGGTATAGTGGCTAGGGGAGCCTACTGCGGCACCGAAGGTCCCGGGTTCGAATCCCAGAGAGAAGGCATGGTTGTAACTGTCCATCCCTTCATAGGAGGCAACGGTGGCTGCGTATTTAGGTGCCTCCCACAATAAAATGACCTTCTGGCCTTAGGTGTGGCCAATGCTGAATAGGCAAGTGCTTGCCGCTGGATTTAACTAGATAAACTGAGTCCAAAATCATGATTTAACACTCTAAATTGATCAACAGAGATGGAGTTATGGTGCTTTTTGATAAATGTGCAATGGCATACATTAAAACAACATTCCAACGACATCCATTATGAAGATGGTGGTATATTCATTAGATCTCTGGCCAAATGAATATTACTTTTTTAATTGTATGGATTATTTTTGATGGGAAAATGGTTCATCAGTAATACAGCTATTAAAAATATTTTTTAGGGAATTTCTGAAATACAGTATATTGGATCTACAAAACTGGCATGAATATTTTTTGTCTCCTGAAAAAAGAAAAAAATTGCATTTAATGGTGCCTATCTTGAGCAAATAAAGCGAGTTTTAATTTAATTATTGTTGATTGAAGTTTCATTACCAAATTTGTACATGTGCAGCAGTCTAATATTTTGCGACATTAAAGTTAGTACGAGGGCTGCTACATATATTTCTGGCCTATTAATGGAAAAAACAAATATTTATGGCCGAAAATGGTTTTATTGTTTTTCAAAATAGTCTCCATGAAGATTAATACACTTTTGCCTACGTTTTAACCAATTTTCGAAGCACTTTTTCAACTCCGGTTGAAGTAACTCCAAAACATGCGTCATCGCGTGTCGCAAGTCGCTGATCACGTAATTAATTTTTGATAAAAAAAAAAGTCGTTGAGTGTCAAACCAGGGCTGTACCGCCGATAACCCATTAATACGATGCTTTGCCCCGTTAAAAATTCCTTTGTTTGAGCCGATGTGTGAGAGGTCGCATTGAATTGATGAAGAATGAATCGCCTCTTCTTCTGCTTTTTTCGAATTTCTTCGATGACTTCTGTTAACCATTCGGAATTGGCTGTCTTGCGTTGCAGTAACGCCACTCTCACCACGTGACAGGTAATGCCGAAATAAAAGCAACCATTTCCTTCGATGTGCTTCTTTCGCGAACAACTTTTGTTGGATTTGGCTCGCCTTGGAAGACCCATACAGTCGACTGCTGTTTTGTTTCGGGCTCGTATACATAGATGCATGCATGGTTCGTCACTTGTTTAGTTGTTATACACAGCCTTTAATGAACGTATTTTTGTAACGTGTCCTTGCATCATTCGACACGAGGCTTCTTTGGACGATCCAACGCGAACAAATCTTTTTTAGAGCCAAATTTTCATGTAATTATTTCATGTGCTATTGATGCTTGTCATACTAATGCCCAAATATGCCTCAATCTCATGGTCACATGACGATTTTGCTTTATCAATTCACGCACAGGATCGGTATTTTCTGGCACAACAACCGATTTTGGACAACCTTCACGGAATTCGTCCTGAAGCGAACGTCGACCACGCTTGAATTCGTTATCTCAGTTTTTTTTACAGTGCTGTAGGTGAGTGCCCCTTCGATCAGCGACAAATTTTGCTCAGTTTTGGCGATGAAATCCTATTTCTGGTTACCGTGATAGTTTTAACTTTGTTTTAGCTTCTTGATTTTTTTTTTTAAAGTGAAAATGGAGCGATGTATACATGAACAAAGGTAGAGTAGTGCGCAATGCCTAGTTTGTGAAATTCTCTGATGTTTTTGGAAGTGAAAATAGCTAGATGTGTACATGGACACCGAGTTTGTGCAATTCTTTGATGTCTTATTTTGGTTTTATGTAGCGACCATCTTGAAATTGTGCCTTTCTGGCGACGATCTTGGAATCGCCAAAAGAACAAGGGGCACCCAATTGTAAACTTTTACTTGAAAAAAAAAAAAAAAAAAAAAAAAAAAACGTACGGAAATGTTCGTGAGTCGATTCCCTTTTTTGCGGAGATGAATTTTTGGTACTTTTCCGTTTTGCCGGCGCAAGCGATAAAGTCGCCAATAATGTACCACCGATGCCAACGGAATATTCTCGCTGGTAACTTTTAACCTCATTTTCAAACAAGTCGCAGCTTTTTCTTATCAGATGATTGTTCTTTCATACTGCATACAATTACATAGAATTTTTTAGATAGTTCAGTTTTTGTCTAAGGCCATTTTCGGTCATTAATTCCAATTAGGATCAATCACAGCTCTTACCGAAGCCGAAATATAGAAAAGGAAAGTCAAGGGTTAAATCATCAATTCTAATGAGAATGTATTAGCGAAGTAAAGCACTGCAGTTTTACATAATTCCTGAGTAGCTATTCGTACGCATTAAATATTCTTGCATTTAACTTGTGTTCCAAATAAGATTAACTTGAAATTAATGTAATAATTACTGAGCATTGATTTTTGTAGAGTAGTTTACGTGAGATGAGATCGCTTGGGGTCACGTGAATGAACCCGCGAATTAGGATTTAACCATGAAAGCATAGTAAATTCTTAATTAATGTCTTTTTACAAATTTATTGTTTTTATTTATTGGCTTTTTATAAAGTTTTAAGCGATATTAAAATGTTTATACCTTCAAAAAAAGAATTCTTAGAACTAAAATTTTTTTAATATTTTTTATGTGTATACTGTATGTTGTCGCCAATAAAGTCTGCTTGGCGAGATTTGCGCCGGCGAAATGGAAAAGTACCGAATTTTTCAGTTTACTGTAAACAACAGAAATCACGCTAAATTGGCAAAACGTTCTGAAGAAGTTATGATTAAAATTATCAAACTTCCAACGGGAATCGTCTGCGGTCGCCTAGCAACACTTATTGTTGCCAAGGCCAGAAATGTAAATAGCAGCCTTCGTAATATAGAAATTTATAGCTCCAAAATTTGTATATTAATTATGTTATTTTTTTCAGTGTAATCATTCATTGAATATGTGTAATTTTTTGAATTAAAATTTGATTGCATTCATGTTGAAAAATTTCAGATGATGCCATGAATATTGCTCGTGTAATGGCCAACTTGGCAGATCGAGGAGTTGTGTTCAATAACAACGGGTTTGTAAAGAAAACACCCGAAGAATAATTATCTATTTTGTATGTCTTGTAGAAGTATTCTTTCCAAAGTTATATGTACTTGTAAAATAAAGTATTTATGTACATTTTATATAGTTTAGTCTTTTCATATTCTAGTGTAAATATTCTTTTGTAGTTATTTACGTAACTATGTATCTGAAAACTACGCGACTTTAACTGTATGCAGCTGTCTGAGTTGAAGTAAAGCATATATTTAACGTTACTTAGTTTAAAATATTTTATTTATCCGTAATTTGATTTTTCTATTTGGGCACATGCTTTTGAGACCGCATTGGCAAAAGCAGCCAAAATAATACCTGTAATACCTGGAGCTGTTTCATCTACCAGCAACATTAAAGCAGAACAGAAGTGCGGACTTCCAATCCTTTTACAAAAAAAAAAAAAAAAAAAAAAAAAATGTGGAATTGGCAACATGGTTTGATGATGCGTCCAGCCCAAAAAAATCCGCAACAAACAGTGATACATCGTGAATGCGTTTGTTTCTCAACAATCACTCGTGGATTTTCTAAACCCCAGATGCGACAATTCTGTAGATTAACCAAGCCATTAAGACGAAAATGAGCTGAAGATGATGATGTTCGAAACATTGGCATCCGCTTGTTGTTCCATAAACCATTGAACGAACTCGCTGTGCGTAGTCAGTAGGCCTTCAATTCTTCAGTTGAACTTTGAAACATGAAGATGCAAATTTTTCGTAAGAATACGCTGTACAGAGTTTTTGAAATGTCCAGTTCTCGACTGTGGTGCCGAATTGATGTTCCTGGACTGTCAGCAACACTCTCACGAACTGCTTTGATGTTTTAAACGACTTGTTGACGGATAACCAGATTGTTTAAGATCACTAATGGATCCAGTCACCCTAAATTATTTAATTAATCTCTTCACAGTTGATGAAATTAAATCCATTCCGACGATGTTTACAGAGAAGAAAATATCTTACACTCAAGTTTACAAACAAGGCCTGGACATCGAGACATCGGGACACAAATCCAGAAGGAATTTTGGAAACTGGAACAACAGGTCGAGACTTAAGAGATCATCTACTCTGAATTATGACAATGAGATCAGAGAAAATATTGCTCTCAAGCGTGATACCTACATTGTCCTTCAAAAGCCTAACCTACCCTCTTACATCCCCATTAACACCATACTAGATCTGGTGGAATATTGTACAAAAAAGGAAACTAAAGCTGTTATCAAGGCAAAAAGTACTCGAACAATTGGGTCCTTTTTGGGAGTTGATTTGGTAAACATTTACACGGATGGGTCATCAGATGAGACTATCCAACAGGGCGGAGCCGTAATTCACAATATTGTACCAAATGGGGCCACTTTACTCCAAAACCATGCAGCAGGCAACATCGCTTTGAACTTCACATGTGAATTAAGAGCAATCCAGGAGGAGCCTCTGAGAATTTACATCGACTTGAATGACAACGATAAAGCCAGAGTACTTGTAATTTACTGTGACTCTAAAGCTGGCCTAGAGGCAATACTGCAAGGACATTCAAGACTCACCAAGGATGTACACCAACACCTAGAAACAATCAACCAGATTGGAAAGATATGCTATGCAATGGATTTTTGCACATGTTGGAATCGATGGAAACGAGGCAGTCGATAAACTAGCTAAAAAGGCAAAAAAAGCTAAAAGGCAGTCGATAAACTAGCAACTGAACAACTCAATTCCTGTCACTCTTGAAGAGGCTAAGGCCATTGCCAGATATAGACTCAAAGAGAAATCTCTTAAAAAAGATCACCAGACAGTGAGATTGATGCAAACAGAGAAATTACAAAGATTGAGAACCTGCCATTTTAGATTGAGAACCTGCCATTTTAGAGGAATGAAAATGAATGCAGATGGTACCAGATCATACAGAACTTGTAGAAACTGCCCCGAAACAGACCTTTCTCCAGAACACATCTTCACCTGTCCGGCAATACTTGCAGCTCTGCAAAGCGTGGTGGAGTTTCTTTTCGAGCAAGAGTTGTATTGTGAAAAAAAGATTGTGGAATTGGCAACATGGTCTGATGATGCCCTCCAGCCCCAAATTCGCAACAAACAGTGATACATCGTGAATGCGTTTGTTTCTCAACAATCACTCATGGATTTTCTGAACCCCAGATGCGACAATTCTGCAGATTAACCTAGCCATTAAGATGAAAATGAACTGAAGATTATGATGTTCGAAGCATTGGCATCCACTTGTTGTTCCATAAACCACTGAACGAACTCGCTGTGCGTGGTCAGTAGGCCTTCAGTTCTTCAGTTGAACTTTGCAACATGAAGATGCAAATTTTTCGTGAGAATACGCTGTACAGAGTTCTTGAAATGTCCAGTTCTCGACTGTGGTGCCGAATTGATGTTCCTGAACTGTCAGCAACACTCGCACGAACTGCTTTGATGTTTTGAACGACTTAACTGAAGGATGGCCAGATTGTTTAAGATCACTAATTGATCCAGTCGCCCTAAATTATTCAATTAATCTCTTCACAGTTGATGAAATTAAATCGATTCTGACGATACATTGCGAACTGTAGCTGCCAAATCTTCGTTATTTTTAAAATATTGCTGGACATTAGAAAACACGTTGTTCATTTTCAATAACCCGGAACTGTCAGCTGTCATGCTGCCTTGTTTGGCAACACTTTATCGCATAAATGGCGCAGAATTAAAATCTTGCATGAATTTTGGTATAACCTTTTAAGTATTAAATTATAAGGTATTTCCGCCCCCTTCTTAGCATGCCTTCGTGGTGTAGTGGTCAGCACACTCGGCGCGTATTCGAAAGGCCTGTGATTCGAGTCCAAGCGAGGGCATTGCTCATTTTTCATCTCTCCTGCTTTAAAAAAAGGCCTAATGTCTCTACGAAACCTAAAAATATAATCTCATTTCCTTTAGTTTAAAGCAAGAATAATTATAAACCTGTTTTTTAAAAAAAGAAAACGCATGCAGTGTCTAAGGAATGATTTGCTGAATACATCACTGTCAGGCATGTGTGGCTTGTTCTGAAAATACAGACATGAATAGATAAGCAGTTACGTATAACATATTAGGTATATAAACTTAATAAGGAATGCTTCAAGTTCTAATCTTAGTCCTAACAAATATTTAGTTTATAAAAACTGAGGTATTTATCAAATGGTATGCGAGGAAATATTACTTAAATATAATTGCGACATATTCTATTAAATGAGATGAAATGTAGGACACTTTTACTGGCTTTTAATAACATATTTTTTATTAGCTAATACAGGGGCTGCTCACACATTTTTTAAACGTTGTATATTGTATTCACAAAACTAAATTACATAAAATTCTTGTTTTAAATGTTCTATTTGACATCCCCTATTCTGAACTATCTTTCGACACCGCAATTTTCAGGATAATAATTCCCTTTGAAGTGGCAGAAGAGAGATTCTATCCCATTCCTCTCGAACAGCTTTCCAGAGTCCTGCTAGGGTTTTGGGACAAAGTTTGGATAATGCAGTTTTTAAAAGTCCGAAAGCACAAAAATCCATAGGTGACACATCGGGAGATTAAGTAGGGATATCAGTAAAGGGTACCAGTTTTTTGTCCCATTTCTTTTAGGAAATTTACAGTGGATTTTGATGTGTGACTGCTAGCTTTGTCCTGATGGAGTCTCACAGATGGATGGCACTGTGGGTAAGGCGATGGTGTTTCATTCAGAAAAATTGGCGATGAAATATGTTCCTGATAGTATTTGGAGTTAATCTTGACATTTTTTTGCACTCTCTTTATTTTTAACTTGCCATTATAAGAGAAACCAGCAACAATCATGAATCCCTTAGAAAAACTTTCTTTCGATTCTTTGAACCGTGTACTTAAATTTTTTCTTCCCTATTATGATAATAAATGGCTCCTTTTTTTGTTACAATCATTTAAATACACCCATGCTTCATCTATTGTGACAATTGTTTTCCATTTTTCTTTGGATAAGTGTTTCTCATATAGAATTCTGCAGCGTGTCCTGCGTTGAGCGATATGCTTTGGAGGAAGACGAGGCACATTGCGTTTTTTCGCTTTCTTAAGATTTAAATCAACGTTTATCATTTTATTTACAGTGGACCACAGAGCATTTTAATGATTTTGCTACTGTCCTTTGACTAGGGGGATTTTCTTTTAACATTAAACAACGTACCTTTGCAAGAGTCGAAGACGTCCGTTTTTTACGTGGATACTTGTTTGGAATTTTTGTCCCACTTGAGGCTCCAATTGGACGTTTTTTTCCTTTCTTGTTGATGATATTACCTATCGACGCTTTAGATATCACAAAACCATGAGTCTCACATCGTTTTTGGCTAACGGAGTATGCATATTTCTCTTCGAAAAGAGTGTCAATGTAGCCTTCGAACCACTGCTTTGTTAAATTCGCCATTTTGAATAAAAACAAAACTTTCAAGCCACAGACGATAATTTTGACTTTTAGAAACATAGTGCAATTGCAATTACTTCTTTTGCAGCAAACGATTTTTTATTACCGCTTACCAAAATCGTCTAAAAAATGTGCGAACAGCCTCTGTAAATATGTCTACATATTTATTTTGTAACGTCTTGAGCTGTTAGCTGTTCCTACGAGAACGTCACCATGATGTTCTGCCATATAAGAAATATCTATATATATATATATATATGTGTATGTATATAATCAAATAATGTAATAGCTGGAAAGTTCGCGAACCTTCTTAAAAAATGCATGCAATCATGTAATAATTATTTTATATTATTTGCAGTAGGAAAAGTAATTAAAACATATGTAAAAATTTAACGTGAAATTTAGTTCTAAATGCACTGAATATTTCGAAACAAAATAGTAGCTGTTAACTGGATTTTTAAGACATTTGATTGTCATACTGTGTGTGCAATGAATTCTATAGCCATAGAAAGAAATAGCGAAAATTCTTTAGCTGTTAAAATGCAACTGAAAATGAAGTTTGGCGTACTGGATTTGATTACATTGTTATCTCATTCGTAATTCTTTGGTTCTAATATTGTAACTTAATTAATATATTAAAGCAAGCTGGTTACGTGGTCGCATTTCACCAGTT